AGATGTGTATAAGAGAGCCGAAATGGGGGGATCGAAATTTGGGCCGATCGAGACAACAATGTCCCAGGGGGTCCCGCGAAATTTTTGTGTTCTAGACGCCCGAAAATAACATCTGAGGCGTTGTGGCCTATCATTTTTTTCTTTCTTTTTTTCTTTTTTTCCCTTTTTTTTTACCTCACAAAAGGGGGAGCCCCTGTTAGACATGATCTAACCATGGAGATAACCTATTTAGTGTGGTATTTTGTGGTATTTATTCATGATTTAATTATTATTCCCTACTCCAAGCCTATCTGAGGTAGACACTAGCCAGTTGTTGTGTTATTTATTTTTCTCAATTGAATTCTTTTTTAGGGGAATGTTATAACGATTGCTGATAACAACATGGATGCTAATTTTTTAATTCATCATTTCATTAGTCTTTTTATTAGAGGTAAGTAATCCAGATTCAACAATATGATATAAATCATTTCTTAATTCTGACTCAGCTTCAAACAGGAAAATCCCAACCTCAACCACACACGAACCAAGGACAATATAAAAGCCCTTGCACACACCCTAAATAATTTCTAAATAAAAAAAACCAACTCAAAACATTTACATATATTTCTACAATTAATTCTTAAAATCTAGAATTCCTGAGCATCAAATCTGTCAAGCTATGGATGCACTCATTGTTTGTAAGCTATACTGTATGGGAGCTCCCACCTTGCGACTGAATTCAAAGAATAGGCCTACCCTAGTAAATCTGTACTGATGTTTTTCAGGGAAACTTTGATTTGCAATAGAAATTTATTTATCCACCCTGATTTATTTTTTATTTAATTAACTAAACTAGATAAATGTTTAAATAAGTATACGTGTAACATAGGGAGAGTAGAAAAAGATTTTTTTTTGTATTTATTTGTTTATTGTAATCTTTATTATTATTATTATTATTATTATTATTATTATGCCCAGAAATGTATTTCATACATTTTAAGTAACTTTTTACAAAGTACAAGCATGTTCATTGTGTTAGGAAAATCTATCAATTTGTTTATTGTTTCAGGTAAAAGCAAGATTTGTTTGCTGTGTTTAGCCCAAACATTTAGCCACTACAGTTCTGTAGCACACAAACTAGTAAGTAGAGCTCCAATCAGAAAATGTATTTTAAAATAATACCTAAAATAATTCTAATACCAGCACCCCCAAGTGAAACTTAATAGTGTATCTTTTAATTACTGATAGAAAAGAAAATATGTAATTAGAGCTAATAATAATAATGATTTCTTGTTTTTCACATTTTGTAGGCCTTAAAACCCCAATAAAAATATACATGTTGCATGTCTTATGATATTATATTTGTTTACGTTCTTTATTCATGTCATACTGTACCATGACAGGGCATAAATTTGATCAAAGCTTGCGATGAGGGACAGCTAACCGTGATTGATGGCCTGCAATTATCACAAGAAGCAACCACACCTATCACCCAAACTTTAGACACAAGAATATTACCACTGGCCTGTATAAGGTATCTTTACCATAATTATTAATCTAGAATATCATCTTTAACCATACCGTAAAACCTCGAATTGAAGCCCAGTGGGTTTAATCTCGAGATAAAACCCATCCCGAATTGAAGCCCCCTCTTTAGTTTGCAAAATTATCCTGAAAAACGAGCCCACAGGCTTCTTTTTGAGATAGTACAATACAAACACTATACATGATTTTCAGAAAACAAAATCAATTAAAAACAAGCTTGGTTTATACAGTAGTTTAGGTGATTTAATTTCATTTAAATACACTTAATGATACAGATTGATGTTACAGTGGCCTTATTTATTGTTTTATAGTAGTAAATTCCCAACATTTACAGCATTTCTTTTGAAGAGAAGCCCCCCTATTTACCTTGCAAAAGAAGCCTTGAAAAGAAGCCTATCTAAAGTTCGCAAGAAAAAAAAGAAGCCCAGGGCTTCAATTCAAGGTTTTACGGTATTTTATTTGGTCACACGCACCATAAAATTATTCATATTGGGCGTATTCGACTGGTATTTTTCATTGACTACGAATTTTCGTTGAGTATTATCTTCACTCGACTGGTTCGTAAATAGACTTCGTTGACAACGAAAAATTAACGTAACCAGAGTGAGTTAATCAGAGTTAAGTTATTCACGTGACCAAAACAAACATGGCGGATTGGTGAGTTTAGAAACAACATTTCTATTAGTATAATTTAGATTAAATTTCAGAAAATAAAAATTATAATATTTACCCACATGAAGTCAAAAAATAATTGTAGGCCAACAGATTTCAAAAACTGAATGAAAATATTTTTTACTAAATACCCATACTTCCACAAAATGAAGCAATCTTGATTACACATCGTGTATCTCAGTAACTATGCAGTCATTTTGTTTTGTCGAGTATTTACAAGTTTTCTATTCGACTGGTCGTCTTCGTTAAGTACTAGGATGTTACCGCTGCGCAGGTGGGTGAGGTTTAACGAAAAACGACCAGTCGAATATGGCCATTGACATATAGATATTTTAAAAAAATATTTAATGTTGACTTTGTAATCATTATTACTATTTAGTAGAACACAGGTAGCAGTTTACGTTTGAGTTATTTAAAAGTATTTAGACTTCCGATTATAATTGCGATGGGAGAATAACTTATTATGTTTGAATAATAATGTAGATTTTCAAATTTTCGTACTGATAAACCCATCTAAACTTGCTTGTTTTGTCGATATATATTATGTTCACAACTCTGAAATTTAATTAGTGCCATTTTACATCTGCACGAAAATAATGGGAAGATAGTTATTCATAAATTTTAACACAAGCCAATAGCTGTCTTGAATTGAATTGAAATTTATTATCCATCTCCAACACAAAACTTTGAGAAATAGTTGCAGAAAGCACATGGCCGGCGGAAGCAGGGGGCCTGGCCCCCCCCCCCCACTTTTTGGCGAAAAATATACAATGTCTGGAAATTTTTGAATGATCGGAAATGCAAAAAAAGGAGGGAAGAAGGAGGAGAAGGATGGGAAAGAGAATGTTTATCCAGTACCCGACCGAGTTACATTTTCTCGCAATTCACATTGGCGGATCTGGGAGAGGGGGTCATGGGTCCTGACCCCTCCCCTGGGCAACAAAAAAAGTGGAAAAAGAAAAGAATTCTAGACCTACCTTTTCAGGACTCGTGAGCTGATTTTTCAATTTTTTTTTTTTTTTTTGCTATTAGAAAATTAGAATTTTGAAGAACATAAAATTCATTAAAACACACTTCAAATGTCGGGAAAGCTCAATTCCCGCCATCTAGGAATAAAAATTTTCCCGGGGGAGAACCCCCGGACCACCCTTTCTTTTTGGGATTTATCGATTCATGGAAAAAAGAATACGCATGCAACTACTCATTTGTTTATGTACAGTATGTATACACACATAAAATAAAAAATTAGAAAAATTTACCTGACCTTTTTCAAAGGGGAAAACCTTGAATTTGGAGTTCATTGATTAATTGAATCATTTCCAAAGGGGGTGGGGGTGGGGATCTTGAATTTTGAAGAATTTAAAAGTCATTAAAAGACACCACAGAAGTCGGGAAATCTCATTTCCCGCCACCTAGGAATCAAAATTTTCCCGGGAAAGAACCACGGACCTCCTCTCACCCCACCCTTTCTTTTGGGATTTATCGATTCATGGAAAAACTACGTATGCAACTTACTC